ATATATATAACTAATCTCCCCCAATAAAGGTTTTGATACGAGCAGTTAGAAGCCAATGATACCTCCCTAACACACTTCTCTACAATAAATTCGAGTTCATCAAAACATTAAGGATGACCCCCTCCCCCCTTCCCACACACACACACGTTCGAAAAGATATGGGGACTTATGGCTTCACTGAGAGTATGACCCTAAATACAGCAAAATGGCGGATAGGGATTCATGTAGCCGACCCCAATCAATTGAAAAAAAGCTATGACGATGATGATGATGATGACGACACACACACATCCGCAAATGGAATTTGGGGAATTGAGAATAAACTTTCCATGTGAATGATGCAAGTTGAAGCAGTTCATAGGATTATCTACACTCACAAACTAATCCAAATCTTTAATAGTAATTGGAAGCTTGTGTAGTAAGATAAAATCAACCCTAAATAAATACTCATATTGAATCTAATATTTTTTTTTGAGAAACATATTTAATCTAATATTTTCAAGTTACATATATCTAGGCAAGCTAATAAGGATCAAATAACATCATTTGTGTGGATAGATAATATCAAACTTTTCATGTACTGCAAGGTCTACAAATGAATTTGTACCAGGTTACTCTGATATGAATGTTTAATAATTTTGAGGTTTCTCTCATTATTCTTAGTTTTGTAGTTGCAGCAGCATACTTCTTAAAAATATGTAACCCAAATGCAACAGAATAACCACCGATGGACTCTAAAGCTGTCCCAATATTTATTGGAACTAACAGCAATCCAACGTATTCAAATATGAACAAAATTTCTTAATTTTTTTTATAAGTCATTAACAAAATTTATTAGGTCTTTTTATAAGTGATGAACAAAATGTCTGTCTATTTTCTTCATATGATTAATGCCAATATGCAGTAGAGGAGTTACAATGTTTCACATGTTTTGTCAGTTCTTCAAAATTATGATAGGACCGCAAAAGTTTTTTCATTTACTACAACTAATCCCTCATGACCCTTTTTGCCTTAGTATTCTGTTCCTTCCTTCCTTTTACTTCATGGTTTCCACTATAATTCAGAAAATGAAAACATATTTCTTTTGTTTCCCTCCAAAGTGGTGCAATACAAACTAATTAAAGCACAAGCATAAAAATTGTATGCAAAATCTTAAATAATTACAAAGCATAACAGTAGAAAATGTTACCAGCATGAAATCGGGAAATAGTAGGGTGCTCCAAAATGAAGTCGCATTGATTTACCCTCCCAAACATGTATGCCCCTTTTCCTGACCTGAACAAAGTAAGTCCAATTGTAAGTTTATAACAAAGTAACAATCAATCAATGAAGAATCATCCTTCTTGCATATTGAACAATTATTTTGAAAAACATACTGTCCAAAAATTCCATCGATTGAGGAAAATCAATTAAAACAAATGAAATAGTACTTCACTGATAAGTAATGCTGGTTCAGTGAACATTTCATCTGAAAAAAGCTGAGAAACTAACAAACAATAACATATAAGACATTGTCAAGTTCATTTTCATATTTCACTGTTAAGTAATGATCCTTTCACTGATCGCTTCGAAAGAAACAATTTTGCAGTCACTTGTTTGCAAATTATGTAATAGAGTCACCTTTGACAAAAAGAAAAATGCTAACGGGTAATAATTTCAGAACTACAATCTAACACAAGTTACATTTGTAATATCCCAACTATGAGAAGTCACGTTCTAGAAATTCATATTTATCATAAAAATGGAAGGAAATAAAATGCCGCAATAAGTTGCAAATTAAGACATGTCTGTTATACGAGTTTAAAATCAATAGCAGAACAACACAAATACAAACACACTCACCAAATATACAAAAGATTAATCCTACAAAATCCAATTCAAAGAATGAACAGGTACTTCTCAACAAATAGTAAAATAGTACAAGTTAAAGTATTAGAAAACTTACACATCAAAGTTGTCGATGATTGACCCATCTTTGAGCACTTCCAGGAAGTAAGGCTGCCCAGGAGGTTCACTCCAAGGTGGAATTGCATATGGAGCAACCTGGGCCTGAGACAGTTGTGTAGACCTAGTGATTTCAGAGCTCTTTACACCAATTTCTAGAACTGGTTTTATAGAACTAGCGGGTTCAGAAGGTTTCTCATCTAAAACTGAAGTTGGTTTCACGGAATCAGAGTTCTCTACTGATTTCCCATCCATTTTTGGAACTGGGTTGATAGAATTAGAGTCTTCAGACGGTTTCTCAGCCATTCCTGAGCCTGTATCAATGGAACTCGAGATCTCAATTGGTTTACATGCCGTTTCTGGAATTGGCTCAATCGAATTAGGGGTTTCAGTGGGCTTAGGATCCAAATGCGAGCATGGTTCCATTGAATTGGGGCTTTCAGAGGGTTTAACATCTGATTCTGATATATGCACCTCATAGCATTTTTGTGGGTCTTTTGAATGGCGGGAGGTTTCATTGAACTTCTCAGGATTAGGGGATTTTGGAGGGGGAGGACCCATTGGGACCTTCATGGTTGTATAGGAATATATGGTAAGAGAGAGAGAGAGAGAGTTTGCACTGGTTTGTGCCTCTGGTTCGCCTGCGCTGTAAAGTGGTGAAAGGAGACAGTTTAACGAGGCTCTAAAACACAGGGAAAGGTTTCTACGCTTCCCCCAGAAGTAGCATAGAAGATCTATGCTTCCCCTGCCATCCCGCCGTCCAATTTTGACTAAGTGAGCCACTTACCGTTGATCTTAGATCTGGTGCCACATGACATTTTATTTTCAATATTTTTAATATAAAATATATAAGAGAAATGATCTTACTTGGACCTCCTTCACCCATGTGTTTAGGATCTTTAAAGATCACTATTAAATTTGATATGTATTTCTAAAAAAATCAAGTCATGCTCTCATGTGATAATGTTTTTAGAGATCCGTACTAAATTTAATGATGATCCTTTAAAGTCCTACACACATAGGTGGGAAAGGGTCCTATAGGATCATTACTCATTATATAAAGAGTAATGATCTTACATGACCCTTCTCCACCTATGTGTGTAGGACCTCAGATCATCATTAAAATTAACACAAATCTCTATAAAAGTTATCACGGGTATGAGACTTGACTTTTCTATGGATCCGTGCCAAATTTAATAATGATCTTTTGGGATCCTACACACATAGGTAGGGGAGGGTCCTATAGTATCATTTCTCTTATATAAATATAAAATTTGGTATGTGTTATCTTCTCATTGGGGAACATCTAATATAAAATTTGGTATATGTTATCTTCTCATTTGAACACATCTAAAAAAATATTAAAAATAATTTTTTGATCAAATATAATTATTAAAATACCCCTTAAATATTTAAAAGGTATTTTGATTATTTTATTTTATTGAGAATAATACTTTTTTATTTTTAAAAAGTAGCTTAATAGAGAATTGGAGGCCTAAAATTTGGTGTAAAAATATTTTAACTAAAAAAATTTAAAATAAAATAGTTCAAAGATGTGACATTGTGATTGGGGCAATGGCAATCTTAGCCCTCCCTTTAGAATGGATGGTTGGATAAGGAGAAGTATACAAGTTTTATGTTATAAGGAAGCATAGAAAGCTTGCCCCAAAAGTTTACATCAAGGTTTAAGAGAATGTAGCAGTGATCCGGATATCCTATCCAAAAAACTAGTTTGGATAAGTGGATTGGCGGTCCTAATCAACCATCTGACCAATAAAAAACAAAAAATAAAAAATAAAACACTCAAAAACAAAAAAATAACAAAAATTAAAATACAAAGTGGGACCGGTTCTAGCTAGTTCTTCGACAAAACTGACCAGCCAGTTTCCAATCCAAATTGGCTGGATCCAATCCAAATCACCAAATTTTTTTAAAACCGAATTAATCATCTCAGCCTTGGGATGAATAAATATAAAGAGCAAAGCTTATATACTATGAAACTATTGTTATCTGGATCATGAGGAGTCCCGGCACCAGTACGAGTAAAGGTATTCGTTTTCTCCTCATTATCAACATAAACTACCACATGTTCGGCTTTTCTTGAACAAATTCCAAGATCATCTACTGTTTTTTCCTCATCTTCTTCCTCTTCTTGTTCCAAATCGGCAGGAACTGAATAGAGGTGATTCGCCTAATAATCCAAGGTTGGTTCGAAGACCAGCCATGAAAAACCAGTGATCTATCCCGCTACTATACAAACTGATTGTCTTATTTCGAAACAGGCAGGCTGATGGTGCGTGCAGAGAAGCAAGCGGGGCTCAACGTTCATTCTATCGGATCCTAATGCTTCCTAATCCGGGAGGGACATCAACTCCTGTCCAAAAGAGTTCGATTGCCTATAGCACCTTAAGCTATCTTAAACTTAAGCACATAAAACTATTGTGCTTGATGCTTAGGCAACTGCTTAAGCCACTGGGCTAACCGCCCTAGCAACTGCTTTAGCAAATGTGCTTGAATCTAGGTACTGCTAAAGCTTTTGATACTGTCTTTGAGCTCTATTGCTTACTATGTTAAAGCAAAAAGAAAAAGCTATGAAAGTGAAGAGCCCCTAGCAAAGCACACCTAAAGGAAAGCTTTCAAAGTTCGCCTAGGACTTGGAGAGCGAGAGGAGCTTATGTTTGAGTAGAAACAAGAGTTTGTTTTTTTTTTGCCGAGACATAGTTGAACTCTACGGTTTATGGTACAAAGTGATCACATTTATTTTTAGCTATGAGATGTGAAATCCAATAAATGAACGTGTGTCACAATATTGAAAATTTTATTTTGAACTTTGACCTCAAACAATGACATATCCTCAATCACCCTATTTCAATTCTAATGGCCAATGGTAATTGTGACCTTGTATAAAAAATAAATGGTCTAATTGTATACATTTCCATAAGGATAAAACACATTTCAATCCTTAAAAATAGTACATTGTGTAACATGTTATCTAGACGGTTTATTTTCAAGATTTTTAAATGCTATAGATTGCTCGATCCGCACTATTTTTTGAAATTTTAAATTCATAATTATAGTTGAACATAGATTTTCAAGTTATCGCAAAGTTTCAAATACTGAAACTACTTCTAGCTTGCAAAATTTAGAGATGCACCTTATGTATAGACTATAGAGTATAAGATAGGCAACTTATACAAACCTCACGTATATATTCATACCATGGATCATCACAAGAAAACTGTTATCTAATGGAAACATTTTGAGGGATGCACACTTTTATAAAATTTAGACTTGAGAATATCTTGCTCTTATAATGTTCCAAAAAAACACACACACACATATTGCTTGTAACGTTTTTCACTAATTTCAAATTAACTGTGGCCAATTTCTAATTTTGGTCACACAATATGTGCTTGAAAAAAAAAGTTCTATTATTGAATAGGGGCCTTCTAATTTTTTGAGGCAAGATCTAAACTCAAAATCAAAAATTTTTCAGTTTGAGATAATCATTCAAGATTATTAGTTCATATTAAAGAAAAGTATATAATGAAGATACTGGAATCTTATTTGTCCAGGTTTCATAAGAAATGAATATTTTCAGACATTGTTTCACCTCATGAGATATCAGTATTTCCCTGAACCAATATCTCATTAAGGAAACCAACACCCACTTCTTCTTCCACTGCCCTATTTCTTCCTATGGTTTGCATCTCTAGAGATTTCTGTTCCCTTGAGTCTTGTGGAATGTTTAGAAGGAAAGAAACTCTCAGACTTTTGAGGGACGGTCTAGAGCTAAGGACCAAGTATGCCAGGCAATTTTATGCCACAACTTGTGCATAAACTATGACACTTTGACAAGAACCTGAAGGACCTTCTGCTATATTGGAAGAAGAGAATACCCAAACCCAGACCCTGACCCTGACCCTCTAGATGGATTCCACCTCTAGAAAACTGTTTAAAACTCAACTTTGACGGGAGTGTGAAGGAGGGAGGCCAGATAGCAGGTTATGGGGGCTTACTGAGAGATAGTATGGGGGATACCCTATGGACTTACCAGGGATGCTTACATCCATGAGTGGCAAATGAAGCAGAATTATAGGCTATGAAATTTGGGGTGGCCATGTTGGAGGCACCGCAAACTAATTGTCATTGAAGGAGACTCTGTTAATGTCATAACTTTGTAGAGCTGGTGGTGTTGTTGTGGTATCGGTGTTGGATACGGTGATATCCAAAATCACCCCAAATAAGGAAATCTCGTATATAAGGGATTGTGATTGATATTAAAATTGATATTGGTAATTTTCATGAAGGAAAATAGAAATAAAAAAAGATTGGGACTTTTGAATATATATCTTGGTTTTGAGATATATGTAACAGCTATACGAAGTTTTCTATTTAGTGTGGATTCCTAACTTTATATATAGAATGAAAGTATAGACAATATGTGTGCCCTATTTTGGTCACTATATGAAAAGCTAACTTCTCTAGAAAGAGAGAGGTAGGGGCTTCTTGTGCATGAGAGGCAAGGCGTCCCCTTAGAAAGAAGAAAGTAAAAAGAAGAGAACTTCCCATGGAAAAAATATTGTGATGGTACCTCCTGTAGATTGATATGCCCAGTTTCTTGTAAAGAAGCCATTCCAATTGAGATTTTAGGTGTTTTTCCTTTTAGTGAGAGAAAGCCTCAGTTGGTCTCAAATTCTCCTCCTAGACAGTAGTTTAGCTATGGAAGAGAGATGGAAAGATGTGTATCTTTCAAGACAGCGGTTTGATTGTGGAACAAAGATACGAGATCAATGGGCGATGCCGGTTAGGTTAGCAGGTCTAAAAGGGTTGCTCAACTGGGTTTTATCGATGATTAAAGAGGTAACTCTGTGTCACAAAATTTGTAATGTAATTTTTATTGGTATAGTGGATTTCTGCTTGTCATGCCGATGGATGTAGTCCTTTTGGGGTGAACTATGTAAATCTTTGTGTTATTATGACGTGTATGTTTTATGTTTTCTTTATCGTATTATGGATTGTGCTCTCGCCTATTTTGTTTCTAGCTGGATAAGTACATGTTCTTATATAGGATCCAACTTTTTAGGATTCATATTTTTGCATCTAAGAGGGCTCTTAAATCCTAATAAATGGCATCAGAGTACATAGTTCAATACTAGTGTTTATGCATTCGGTTGAAGAACAATATGACAAAGTATGCATATGTTTTATTTGAGGTATAATGACAAACACAATCTTTCTAGCAAGAATGATGACGGAATTTATTTGACAAAAGACGAAGAATTCATAAAGCTATCTAATAGATGACATGGTGAGCAGATGCTTTTGATATCAAGGTAGAGATTGTTGATATGATGATATCCAAAATCACCCAAAAAAAGGAAATATCATATTATTTGAGATTGTAATTGAGATTCAAATTGCTAAGTTTCTTAAAACAAATAGAAATAAAAAAAGATTAAGACTTTTGGGTATATCGCTTGGCTTTTAATATATATATATATATAGAGAGAGAGAGAGAGACAAAGATTAATGATCCTATGAGACCCTCCCACACCCATATGTGGAGGACCCCAAAGGATCACCATTAAATTTGACATAGATCTCTAGAAAAGTCAAATCTCACACCTATGTAATAACTTTTACAGAGATCTGTGGTAAATTTAATGGTGATCATTTGTGGTCCTCCACACATGGATATGATATAAGTGGAAAGATTAAGTGTGTCTTATTTAGGTCCCTATATGAGAGATGTAGATTTTTCTAGAGAGAGAGGCATGGCCTCTGTGCATGAGAGGCAACACCTTTTAGAGAGAAGAGAGCTTCTTATGGAGAGAAATGTTGCGATACTGCCTCCTGTAGACAAAGAGGCTGGTTTATTATAGAGAAGTAATTCCCATGAAGATTTGGGTGTTTTTTTTTTAGTATAAGAAAATATTAGTTGCCCTCAAGATTCTTTTCTTGGACAATGGCTTAGTTGTAAAAGAGAGATGGGTCTCTTCCAAGATAGTGGTTTGGCTGTAGAATAGAGATACGAGATCAATGGGTGATGCCGGTCCGAAGAGCACGTCTAAAAGGGTTGCTCGATTGGGTTTTGTTGATGATTTAAGAGGTAATTATGTGACCCAAAATCTCTAATGTAACTTCTATTGGTATGGTGGATTCTGCTTATTATGCTGATAGATGTAACCATTTTAAGGTGAACTTCGTAAATCTTTGTGTTCTTATAACATTTGTATTTTATACTTTATTTCTCGTATAGAGCTCGTACGCTCGTTTATTTTGTTTCTAACTGAATAAGTACATGTTCATGGTTGGATTTAACCTTTGAGGATTCATGTTTCCACATCTAAAATGGCTATTAAATCCTAACAAGTGGTCGTGCGATGATAGCAATGGGGACAGGAGACGGAGAGAGATTGAATTTTCTGCCACGCACCTTGGAATTGAGGTTCAATTACATATGGGAATCAACTCATATTTCTGAAAATCCTATGAGTCACAATTGACAAATTCCAAATAAGCCCAAACTACATTATAGGGTGTTGCAATGAAGCCATATCCGAAGAAGTTTTTATACTTTTTTCTTTCTAATCTTATGATCTCTATTTTAAATAAGAGATTATATACATCCATAATGTCATGAGGATACCAGCTCTACCACTCTTAAGAAAGGATCTATATAAGGTATCCGCATTAAATATCGAAGTAAGGCGGAGTTTGGAAGTAAGGCGTTCCTCCAAACTCCATCAAATGATATAATTTCAATGTTGGCACATTACTATGACTTGAAATTCAATTTCTGACTCTAATGATGAAATTCATTTTTGAATTTACTATTAATTTTTTAAAAAATATATGAAATTTAATATTCCAAAAATAGTGATCAAACAGGTGTATAAAAATTTGAAAATGGATGGTCTAAAGTAATGTGCCACACATTATTTTTAAGGCTCGACAGTTCTTATTTTATATCCATACATTTCAAAGACAAGATGATCAATTGGTGGTTATTCCAAGTTTAAAACAACCCTTTTTTTGCTAGGTTTTTGAGATGCACCTTTCTTCTACATCATAAAATTGACACCAAATATAAATTTTTTTATGTTAAAGGATAAATTTAGCGTTGATGCATTTAGTATGGTACATGTTGCTGACACCCAAACATCCTTCTATGTAATTTAAGATGGATGGATATAAGCAATGATACATCAATATCATGCTTATATGTTAAAAGAAACCTTATGATCCCAAGCGTTTTAAGGATCTAAAAGAACAAAAAAGAACAAAGATTGTATATAACGAGACCATTTACCTTTCATACAAAGTGGTCGCATTTATTTACAGCCATCCAGTGTGAAATTTGATTGTTTGGATGTCATAAAATTCGAAAAAATTTCTTTGAAGTTCAAAATTGGTCAATAAAATACTTCAACCACCCAATATCACACCCAACAGTCTGGATTACTTGTACCAAAGGTAAATGGTCTCATTCCATTTTCCCAAAGGAAACCACGGAGAATAGTGACCAAGAATGTATTATCTCACACATGCACGTTGCTTGGTCAAATTGCAAATAAATGTAGTTGTCAAATTGCAAATAAGTTTAGTTTTAACTTTGAGCACTAAGTTTATCTCTATTCTCTGACCTATTTGGAAGACCTTTTTGATATGAAACTTTGGAATTAGTAGGTATTATTCTCAAAAAACAAAAATTGAAATTTGAGATCTAAAAATTGGATATTCCCTTCAATCTCGAAACATTATTTTTTTCAAACACACAGGATACAATTGGGAACTTTTTAGTTGGAGTTAATCTATGGATTGAAGAGGTTACATCTAATTTGGAGGTTCTCAAATTAATTCTAGGTGGAGTTCTACTCCCGTAGGAGTAGAATATCTTTTAGCTTTTAACTTTTAAGTTGAAAAGCCCACCATAGGGCACCAGGCCACCAACAAGAAAAGGTTTATATAAGGCTGCAACCTTATACACTAGGAAAAAGGATGCCTCACAAATTTATTGAAAAAGGTTGCCTCGATTGTTGAAAAACCCTCTAGTTGACCATCTCGATGTCGTGTGAAAAAAATAGTTTAAAAGGCTCAAAAATAGTACATCTTGTTATACATTATTTAGACTGTTCATTCTCAAGATATTCATGTGTTTGTACATCTGATATGCTCTAATTGATCATCTCTCTCTCTCTCGCAAAGTTTGCTATTGACCAAAAACACTATTGTTCAAGCCTCAATCGTACTCTCACACACACAATATGCATCCTCTCTCTCTCTCTCTCTCTCTCTCTCTCGTCGTACGTACGTACGTACGTACGTTACGTACGTACGTACGTACGTACGTACGACTACGACGACTACGTATACTACTATTACTATACTACT